CTTCGACCAGCGACGTGAGGAGGGTGACGTTGGCCGCTTTCCTCCGGCCGGCGGGCAGGTTGAGCCCAATCTTCTCGAGCTTGTCCCTCAGGATGCGGCCGCCGTTCTTGCTCTTGGCTCTGCGGAGGGAGGGCGGCCGGTGATTAGACCACAAGGGCAACCTTTCAAATTACAACGATGTCATAATCCGTTCTATCTGAAGACTTCAGTTAGCATGTCCGTCTAAAGGTAGGCGAGAGAAAATGGAAACATATACGTACACATCAAAACTTATCTACACACACACACCAGCCCACACACACACACACGCACCCACATATATATATATATATATATATATATATATATATATATATATATATATATATATATATATATGTACACACACACACACACACACACACACACACACACACACACACACCACATATATATATGTATATATATATATATATATATATATATATATATATATATATATATATATATATATATATATATATATATATATATATATATATATGTATATATGTGTGTATACTTACGCATGTATTTGTATTATTAGGTATATGTATATGTATATGTATATGTATATGTATATGTTATATATATATATATATACATATACATATATATATATATATATATATATATATATATACATACATACATACATATATATATATATATATATATTATATAATATATAATATAAACCATGAGTATACAGGTATGTATGTATCCATGCACATAGGTGTACACGATATATGAGTGTATAACACTGGCTTTGTAGGACCAGCAACAAATCAAGATAAAGTAATACGCAGAAGTTTTGTCAACAAGATTAGCATAGCTGATCGCCGGGATCCGCTCACAGCGCCCAGAGAAAACTTGTGGCATCGTAGAAATGAAATGAGATTTCGTGCCGCAGGAAGGCCGTGGGGCGGCTGGGAAGGCGTCGCAGCCGCAGGGATGTGGCTCAGCCCCTCGGGGCCCGGCCTCCTTGCGCTTCAGCCATCGTTGCCGAAGGACACGAACACGCAGTCGCAGATAAAAACGGTGCGCACGCACCACACACACACACACACACACACACACACACACATATATATATGTATACACAAACAGACCGACCGTTACAAATAACACACATCTCTCTCTCTCTCTATCTGAGAGAGAGAGAGAGAGAGAGAGAGAGAGAGAGAGAGAGAGAGAGAGAGAGAGAGAGAGAGAGAGAGAAGAGAGAGAGAGAGAGAGAGAGAGAGAGAGAGAGAGAGAGAGAGAGAGAGAGAGAGAGAGAGAGAGAGAGAGAGAGAGAGAGAGAGAGAGAGAGAGAGAGAGGCAGATAGATTGAGAGAGAATGGTAAATTTTCGCTATGGAAGAATGATTGACAGACCGCGCCTCCTCCCCGCCAGGGAAGCGGCGGCGCCCGCGAGAGCGCGGTGGGCGGCGTGGCTCCGCAAGTGATGAAACAGATTCCTGGAGCCTTTGCTCGCAGCCCGTTGCATGTGCACCTCTACGCCACCCTCAGTCTAGCAGCCTCTCGGCCTGCGCTCTTTGTCTCCCCGAATCAACAACGAACGTTCACGGGATCGGAGCTGTTTTAACACTTCAAAGGTTAATGAGAGAAGACGACCTGATCGCGTCGTCCCAATTGACTTGTGATCAGTAACGCTAGCGCTACACTTTATGAAAAAAGTCCAGATAAAGAAAGAACACGCGTCACCTTGGTAGTTTGGGTGCAGTAGTTTATCAGGCTATCAGCAAGCGCAATGCGTTAATATATGGTACACACAATATACTATCAAAACATCATGCTTTGACCTGACATCATGGCCCGTGCAGAACAACACACACTGAATGATAATGTCAGTAATATGGCCAACACCCGGAGATTCCATTAGCAAGAATACTACTATCTTGCCTACATGGCTGACATCATGAACATACAGTTAACGTGATTTTTCTAACGGTCACTCTCAGGTTTTCCTAGGCCTGTACTACCTCGGGTATTCCTTTTGACTTGAATTTGATTTCTGCGCTGAGAGCCATCAGCAAAGAAGTGGCTGTGGAGCGCGAGAGGCTTCTTTCGCTGTTTATAGCGCCCTATAAACTGTCATTAACATTCCATTTCAATGTCAAAGATATCGCATGATATCCGTTTCTGGAGCGCGATTCGGGACCCCAGGCGGGGCGCTGAACAGGTGCGACCATGGTGCAACACGGCACTTGGGCCTACCCGGTTCCAGGTGAAAGTTCGATAATCGCTGCTGATGCTATCCAGTGACGGAGCAGTTTCCACCTCGCAACGGCCCCCTTAAATATGGCAACCAGAAATACAAAAAATGAAAATCCTTATTTTAAAAAGTGTGTTTACAAGTCAGAGGTTGCACTGTAATTGTACTACAACAATGGCCTCCATGATGCTATACGAAGAGGTTGTATTCCCTAAGGAGCACTTCAACAAGCGTTCTGCTGTGTAGGGAATTGTTAGAAAAC